TTTCTCAAAAATAAATAAATAAAATAATAGACTCTTTCAGAAGTTGGAGTGCCCTGGCAATCTGGCACCATAGCCTACTTCTTGTCCCAAGAATATATTGACCCTGTACGGCTACTAGAATGCTTGTACCTTGTTTTTTCAAGTAGAAGTAGAAGGATGCTTACAACATATTACTCCCTCCATCCGTAAAAAAAATGCAATTACGAGAATCGTGCTTGTCAAACTAGTCAAAGTTTGACCATGTTTATAGTAAAAAATATTAAAATATATATTTCTAAATAAATTTATTATGAAAGCATATTCTATAACTAATCTAATGATGCTTATTTTGTATCATGAATGTTACTACTTTTTAATATAAATTTAGTTAAAGTTTAAATTATTTAACTTCTCGAAAAGTGAGAATTGCATTCTTTTGTGGATGGAGTACATCATTTCCAAATTATAAATCGTTTTGATTTTTTCTAAATAAATAATAAAGACATAATATACATTCAGATTTTTACCATGCACCTAGTAGAGAAACAAATGTTGTTATAATTTTGGGATTGAAACTTAAATGCATAGTTAAATATCCTATCGACGTACGTTGTTGTCTGTAAGATAAACCCTGTATTACTATGGCCACCTGTGTATTTGATTAACCTTTTATCCAGCTTATGTTAGCTTTGTTTAAACTGCCTCTGGTCCAAATAAATGGCGACTGTTTACGTTCAGGTGCACACGGGTGTTTGTTGTCCTTTCTAAAGTTAGTTGGCTAAATCTAGTCTCATTTACCTATTTTTACCCAAACACTATTTTTTGGATCCATGGTTTAGAAATTAACATTGTGAAAAGATTATTTGGGCTACTAAAAGAGCCTTTAGGGTCCAACTAGTCACCCGCACCAAATGATTTGAAAGTTTTATTATCATTTTAACCTCAGATCCAAACATCTCTTAGAGTTAGTTGGGGCTAAAAACTAACTCTAATCTCTTTTAATCATATTTATTCAAGACTAAAAGAGCCTTTAGCCAACTAGTTGTTGAATGGGGCCTCAAATCATATTTAGTCACTTTAGAGCCAAACAACTTGACTAAATGGGACTAAAAAGCCACTTTTAGCCACATAAACCAAACACCCAATTACTAAATTTTAGTTCATGGTTTAGCTACTAAAATTTAGCAGGGAAAACGCCTTTGTCGCTTGTCAACCAAAGACGTCATCTTTCTCTCGAAAGAAGTACGCACGCCAAGGATATGGAAGCAAGCCACGAACACCTTTTTTTTTTTGTCAACGAATATGCCCTACGGATCCGATCGTCCACTAGAAGAGACAGTACCAGAGGAATCAAAGTTGGATCACGAGGCACGGAACAAGGCAGCCGCGACGTCTAGTCCATCCCCTTTTCCTAGCTTGCCGTCCATGCTCGCTTCGACTAGACGAATCGCGCCCGCCGAGAAGGCGAGAAGGTGCTGCCGCCCTTGCCGCCTGCCGGCCTCGCCCTCCTCGGGTCGTCGTGCCCGCGCCGCACGGACACACGGCACCGGCACCGTAAACAAAAGCACACTCCAACGATGCGCGAACGAGAGGGGGAAAATGTATTCTCAGGCGTAGCGCGGCGGCCGTACGTCGCCGTCGTCCGGCCTGCCGGCCTCAGCTCTCGCCGCGCGGGATCCGCACACGGCGCGGGCATATCCCCTTCCCAGTCGCCGCGGAACGGCCGGTCGTCCTCGTTCTCGTCCTGGTCCAGGTTTGACGAGATGCTGCCGGCACATGCTTACGGATCACCACCAGGCACCAGCCGAGACTGCTCTGCTACTGTCTAGAGAGCAAATTGTTTAGCGCTCAAGAAGAGCAACGCCTGCACGCCGCGGATATTTCTTTAGATAGATATGCCATATATAAAAATCTCACTTGGAAGCCTGTACTGTCGTGTCCTTTGGCCGGCCGGACGCCCGGATCTTCTCGGATTTCTTGGGGGGCGATGTCACGTTGGTTGCATTGAACAAGAGCTCACCTCTAGCGTACCTCGATCCATCCCGGTGCATTGTCCAAGCCGATCGAGAGCATGTGACCCCAATGATGGCATGGTACATGCAGAGAATGAACAAAGGAAGGAAACGAGGATATTCTTTGCTTCATCGCCATCGGCCCAATTATTCGACCAGAGACATCGGTGACGTGCATGTGCCTTGCCTCCTCCAGCTTCGTTCGTTCGGTCCGGATAAAACGGATATGCATGCATCGTGCGTATGGAAACTCCAAAGTGGGCTGTGTCGTGGAACGGTTGCATTCAGAGTTTCGTTCCAGTGGCGTGGTGGCGGCATGGCTATAGACTATAGTATTAGCTAGGTTGGGGACTCGGGAGTTTGGATCATGTCCAGTACAGACAGACAGAGAACAGGAGTGTACATAGATCGCTAGATGTGGCAGGAAGCCTAACTTGTCACGTTCAAACATCTGTCCTAGCCAAGTAGCCATAGCTAGCGACCTAGCGTAGTAGTAGCTCACGGTGCAGTACGTGCATTAGGTCGTGATTAGACCCGGTTTACTGGTGCGGTCGTGGTGTCCGTTCACTGCGTCCGGATAACGCGATAAGGGTCGTCAGATGAGTGAAAGATTTGCGACATATACTACAGCCTCTAGCTATGAGATACTCCATCCCTCCAGAAAAAAATACAATTCTAGCTTAGTAGTAGTAGTAGCAGCGAGTGGTTCGGAAGCAAAGACAAGCACGGAAAGGTAGTTCGGAAGCAGAGACGACCACGGAGTGACTGAAACGGTGCTTGCGCAAAACAGTGACCATTAGTACAGAACCTCTCGTCGAGGAGAAAATTCTGCACACGTTGTAACTTCTCTGCCACCAGTAAACGAGCGAGTGCTGTCCGCATATGGATGATGTTTTCAGAACCCGTGGCGTTTACTTTCGCGGGACATGAACAGCACGGGAGCAAATCGCCAAAATCCAATGTCCGATCAATCAGCCTCAGCGGAAACGTGTTTTGACAGCCGGGATGCAATGCAAACCCCTTTTTATCTAAGGGCCTGTTTAGATAGCGAAAATTTTTGCAAAATGCAAATTTTTAGTTATTCTAAGCAATTAGTGTCAATCGTAGTCTAATTGTACGCAAAAGATTAAATCTAAAAATTTCGTCTAAACTGTGTAATTAGTTTTATTTTTTATTTATATTTAATGATTCATGCATACGTCTAAAGATTCGATGTGACGAGGAATCTAAAAAATTTGGTAAAAATTCATGGAACTAAACTGGACCTAAACCCATTGAGGCCAGGCCGTCTACTACGTAGTATTTTCCTTCTCTGAAAGTCTCAACCAAGTTCCAGGCTGCTTCATTATTGCTTCTACTATCTGATCTGATTATTGTGCGACAGAGACTATTCACCTGGGTCACGTGGTGGATGTACAGGTACCGGTTACCGACACGGTGTGCCTGTTGGCCATCCATCTGAATCATTTGGCCTAAAGCCCCTTGCCGGCGAGGTGAAATGATGGATCACCCGCCACCGCGCTGTGGCCTTTAACTGACATCACGTCTCGCGTGTACCACATCTGGTACAGCCTGGGGCCAGTTTGGATGCTAAATTTTTTTAGCAAAACCCTACCGTAACGTTTTCGTTGTTATTTAGTAATTAATGTTCAATTATAATTTAATTAGGCTTAAAAGATTCGTCTCGTTAGTTTTATTTTTTTATTTATATTTAATGCTTGATGCAGGTGTCTAAAGATTCGATGTGATGAAAAATCTTAAAAATTTAGCATTTTGGGTGCAACTGTTTAAACAGGGTCCTGCTGCTGGAAACGGGAGGACGAACGAACGAGCTCCAAGCTGCTGCTAGCTGTTGCCTGGGCCTGAGTGTGGGCGAGAAGAAAAAAAGACGGCCTCAATCATGGCGGCAGCCGTAGTACTACTAGGTGCCTTGTTACAGAAACCTTTTCCAATCCTAGGAAACGTCTGCCTCAGGCGTGTTCGGTCTGTTTCGAAATTTACTATCGTTTATGAGAAACCATAGTCAAACAAACAGGCTGAGAAAAAATATCCTTGTATTACAAACTCTGCAAGTTAGGGTATCTCCAATAACAATTAGTATGTTTGTTTGGCTGTGGCTTGTTGTAAACGATCGTAAACTTTCAGCTAGAACAGTATTTTTCTCTCACACAAACTAGCCAACAGTACTTTTTTACGAACCAGCAACGAAATAAATCAGCCAACCGAACAGGCTGAATATCCAAAAAGACCTATTCATCTTTTAGGTAGCGCTACAGACAAGAGGTTCGATATATATTCGATATCTTCTCCAACAACAGGACCTAAAGAGAATCATTTCTACAAATGGATTTTCAGGAGAGATGATGTCCATATTTGGGTTATGCCTCTCAGACAACTTAAAATATGTCTCCCATATAGGAATACTCTGTTGAAAGTTAATTTTAGATCTCTTACTACCTATTTTAAGTTTGATGCCTATATAGGTTACTGGTTGGAGACAGTCTTAGCGATAGCAATAAGGCCTAGGCTGGCTTCCCTTCGTTTCCACAGCTAGCATTGAGACGGACATGGCAGACTGACTCGTGTTGCTGTCAAGCGCCGCCGGTGGATAAGGAGCACCAGAACCAGATCACAGATCAGGCTCTATCCGGCAGCTATCCATACCGGACCAGGACTCATAATGCAGCAAGGTGAAAAGCGTGACTGAATGGGACTGCCAACAGGGCAAGCAAAGTGAAAGAATCAATTTTTTCGCCTTCTCATTTTCTGATTTCATCGTCATCGTCAACTACATATACAAAGGTGGTCGAAACATTCTTTGCATAGTATCATACGGGCATATACAGGCACGAACGATTTGGGGGTAGCAACGCAGAAGAAGAAAAGGAGCAAAAAAAAAAAAACTGTCGATCCTGTAACTGCAGCTAATCCCTACGCCATACCGTCTGAATCTGGTTCATCATCATTGGTTATTCTTCCTCGATGTTCACTGCTAGCACTGTGTGTTCCTCAGAGCGAACCTTCGAACGAGACCCGGAGCTGCACCGCCGGCCTGGGCCGCTGCGTCGGCGCGCTGGCCAGGCCGTCCAGCATCTTGATCACGTCCACCGTGTCGTCCAGGTAGTACTTGGCCATGCTCGGCTTCTTGCCCACCGTGCACGCGAACACCTCGCTGCTGGCCGGGAGCTTCACGCTGCTGTTGGAGGGGCACACGATGCTCTCGAACATGTCCTCGTCCGACCGGTCGTCGCCGATGCACAGCACGAAGTCCGGCGGCTTCCCCGTTTTGACCATAGACGACAGGAAGCTTTCCACAACCACGCCTTTGCTGATGCCCTGCACGACAGCACCAAGATATTTTTTGCGCTTGTTATTATGTTATTTGCTTCCTCCACCAATCCCAGAAATTTCCAAGTGGTTGCGGACAAAGAGACAAATGGATGGTTCAGTAGTGTGATGGGTTGCTTTCGGAGGGGCACAAGGCTCCGTTTAGATCCAAAATTTTTTGAATTTTGACCACTGTACCACTTTTCGTTTATATTTAACAATTAATGTCTAATTATAAACTAATTAGGTTCAAAAGTTTCGTCTCGTGATTTCTCACCCGACTGTACAATTAATTTTTTTTATCTATATTTAATATTCCATGCATATATATGTGTCCAAGATTTGATGTGACGGGTACTACGCAAAATTTTTTGAAATCTAAACGGCGCCTAAAAAGACCACACATCCACGAGGCGGGCCGCGCAGTTCTCGCGGATTTCCGAGTCCACAAGGGCATGGTCATGCTGATTCACAATCCTATTGTCGCAGGCATGTAGTGGATGAGGACTGGATTGGATTAGATCAATCCTTATCCGATGCCTTTTGGTTTGAAAGCTACCAACGAGCATATCTATAGAATAAATTAATGAGCGGAGAAAACAAGGCATGCACGCGTTTGGCTCGCCGGTCGCCGCTCACCTGGGGGTTAACCTCGACGATGTGCTGGCCTCTCTTCACCACCACGGGTTCGTTGGCGAGCACGTTTTCGAGATGGTCGAGCAGCTCTTTGGCCTGGCAGGATCCAAAGTCCGGATCCGCCTCGTGGTGGTGCCAGACGATGGCACTCTCCTTGTGCTCGATGTACGAGCCATCTGTTGCCTCCGTGTACAGCTGCATCACCGGCTCCGCGGTCTTCTTCCAGTCGAAATCGGCGGCCAATCCTGAGGTCTCCCATGGCGCGTCCCTGCTCCACCTGCAGCACAAGAGTCGGTGACCCGTCATGTATCGGCCTACTGCACGTTATAGGAATAGTAATGCTCTTTCTAAGTTGTAATCAAAAGTGATTGGCCAACGCATCAGGAATACTACTAGTACGAATGCTCCTCCTAGGATTTGTTCTAAAAGCAAGAGTACTACTGCTAGCAATGATCTAAAGAGTAAAGACCAGAGCCCAGTAGGAAGATTTTTACCTTGTGAAGTAACCGTGCTCCGCGGCGATGCCCAGCTTCTCGCAGGGGGCGAACCACCTACTCAGCTCGTCCTTCCCCCGCCCGCTCACGATGAACACTCTGTTCTTGGGGTCCTCGCACAGACAATTCAACACAGAGATGACCTCACTGCTCGGCGTCCTGTCGATGGAATTCTCCGGCATCACGGTGCCGTCGTAGTCCAGGAGAATCAGCCGGTTCTCCGTCCTCCGATACGATGGGACAATGTGCTCCACGGAGAGCCGCCGGAAATTGGGGCCAAGGGCCACCACCTTGAAGCTCATGCCGAACCCGATGCCCCAATGCCGGCGCGAGAAATGGTCCTTGCAGGCGCGCTGCAGGTCCGAGTCGAAGGACCGCGCCCAGTAGGCGACGTCGTGGGTGCTCACGTACTTGTAGTGCTTCTCATGCCGCAGCCGCTGCTCGGTCTCGGGCATCCGCAGCGCGGCGTTCATGGCCTCCGCGACGGACTCCACGCTCCACGGGTTGACGCGGATCGCGCCGCTGAGGGACGGGGAGCAACCGACGAACTCGGAGAGCACGATGACGCTCCGCTTGGGCGCGTCGTCTCCGAGCGCGGTGCTCTCCTGCCGGCACACCGTGTAGATGTAGGGAATCCGGTTGAGCCCGTCGCGCACAGCGCTCAACACGCAGCACTCGGCGGCCGCGTAGTAGGCGGCCTTCTCCTGCGCCGTCACCGGGCCGTCGATGAGCACGATCGGCGTGTACCCGGGGGTGCCGAAGCGCGCATTGACCCGGGCGCTGATGGCCCTGGCCTCGACCTGCACGCCCTGCACGTCGCGCCCCTCGCTGCGCGCAGGGTTGGCGATCTGCACCAGCACGGCGCGGCCGCGGAGCTCCCGGTGCTCCACGAGCAGCTGCTCCATCGCCAGGAACTTGAGCCCGATCCCCTTGAACAGATCGACGTCGTCGACGCCGACCATGAGGCGCCGCCCCTTGTACGCCTCGGTCACCCGCCGCACCGCATCCTCCGTCTCCGGCGCCGAGACCACCGACCTGAGCTGGCCCATGTCGATCCCGACGGGGAGTATCTTGACCATCACGGTGCGGCCGTAGTACTCGATGCCGATGTAGCCGCGCTTGGACTGGTAGTCGAGGCCGAGCAGCCGCGAGCACGCGGACAGGAAGTGGCGCGCGTAGTCGAAGGTGTGGAAGCCGACGAGGTCGGCGTTGAGGAGGGCGCGGACGAGGTCATCCCGCACGGGGATGGTGCGGAAGATCTCCGACGAGGGGAAGGGCGAGTGGAGGAAGAATCCGACCTTGGCGCGCGGGAAGCGCTTGCGGAGGAAGGTCGGGAGCGCGAGGAGGTGGTAATCGTGGATCCAGACGAGGTCCTCGTCGGGGGACAGCACCTCGGTGAGGCGGTCGGCGAAGGCCCTGTTCGCCGAGAGGAAGGAGTGGTAGAGCGTCCGCTGGAACGGGAGGCCGCCCAGCGACGACGGCGTCAGCGGGAGCAGGTAATGTAGGAGCGGCCAGAGGTAGTGCTTGCAGAATCCGTGGTAGAAGCGGTGGTGGAGGTCGGTGGGAAGGTACACCGGCAGGCACGAGAAATTGGCCAGCAGGTAGTTGGACAGCTCATCTGAGGCGGCCTCCGCCGCCACCGCTGGGAGGGTGCCGATGTGGAGGACGGGCGCGTTGGCGGGCAGCCCCGAGCGGAGCTGGTACGCGACGGTGCCGGAGTCGACAGAGAAGTTGAACCCGAACGGGACCGCCGGGTCCGGCGTCGCGCGGAGCGGCAGGCGGTGGGAGACGATGACGCGGCGCGGCGGGGCGGGCGGGGACGGGGAGGTGGGCGAGCCCGGGGACGCGACGGACATGACGCGCGGGAGGCGGAGCGGCGTGGGCGACGACAGGGGCACCTCGTCGGCCTCGGCGAGGTCGAGGAGGTTGTGGCAGGAGAGCGAAGGCATCGCCCCCTCCTCCTACTGCCTATCTGTGGGCGGCGTCGCAGAGGTGGAGGCGGCGGCGATGGCGCATGAAGAGAAGAGAAGCGCCGCGACGCGACGAGGAGTGTGTCGGGTTCGGCGGGCGGTCGGATGTGAAGACGGATCGGATCGATCACTTCTGCCGAAGCTTCTGGGGATAAGAACGGCCGAGGTGGGTCTCGGCCGCGGAAGGAGGAGAGGCGGTATAAATATGGCAAGCTGGATATGCGTGTGCCCCCGCTCGGCGGCGTCGTGTGTGAAGCGAGGAAGAAGGAACCGACGGAGCGACCGGGAGTAGGCGGTGTGCCGGCATGGCCATGGGCCTTATCCACATCGCGGCTGAAATGACGGGACTGCCCCGACGTGGGATGGATCAGTGTCGCGGTCCGCCTAACGGTTGGGTTTATCTATCCGTCGTATCCGCTCGTCCAGTCGTCGTCGCCGCGCGGCCTTGCGCTACACCTCACCTCACTTGCGGGCGGGATACGTACGTACTCGCGTGCGCCGACCCCGACCCACACCCGGCAGACGCCGCCTACCGGCGCTCCACTCCGGTGGATGACAGGTGGGACGGCCCCTAGTAGAGCTTGAAGAAGCCTGTTGCTTTGCGCGTTGTCTACGCTCGCAACTTTTCTTTTTGGCATCAAGAATGGTTTGCCTGGCTGGGAAGAAAACGAAGTATGAGAGGATTAGGTGCTTCGACAAATCATGCTGCACAGCTTGCGTGTCATAAAACCGTGCTATATATAAGATTGGCTTCGAAACATTGGGGGCAAATATGGTTCGGCGTTATATTTTAAACCATTGTTATTAAGGCTATAAATAAACTTATTACTCAATTGAGACTTGAGAGAGAGAGAAGAAAAACGTTTGTACTCTTTCAGCGTTCTTCGTTACTCTTTATAAACTAGATTAATGCATCAACCTCTCCAAGAATTTCCACGGTCCATATTTAAAACATGCCATGTCACCTGTTTTTATCAGATCCACCACATCGCTGAGGAATTTTCTACGCCGACGAGCGAATGAGCGATAAGAACATTTTTTTAGCTTTATCCATTTGCCATTATAATTATTATTGCATAGTATCTGGCGGTTTAAATTGCTTCTACTGCACCACATTATCAATGTGGCATTGATATATTGCTTAAATAAAATTTCGAACAACATTGATCAATTGTGCACTAAATACTGCCTCACCAAACAATAGACTAATTGAACCACACAATGTAGAAGCAGATCAAGCAAGAAAAACAGAAATAAAACAGGAAATCTATATACTTCGAATCTCATAAAACACGCATGCTGGAGTATGTTCACTTTGGTCTTTGTCACAACTTCTCATCATTCATCATAAAATTCAATGGTGCATATTTCTCATTTTTCTGATTAATCTTGTAATTTATAGACCTTGTATTTGACATAGTTATTCTATTTATTATTCTAAGTCATTGGATCATCATAAAATCCAAGGATGCATATTTTTTAATCTTTTCGATACTTTATTTATTCTTGACTGTTAGATCATCGTAAAATTCAAAGGTGTATATTTATTTTCCAATACTCTATTTATTGTCGGCTTTAGAATGTCATAAATCCAACCATGCATAGTCTTTTTTTTTATTATTTTCTTAATTTTATGGTCTCCTCACCTTGGCAAACATGGTGGTTTTCACTATTCTAAGTACCCTTTCTTTTCTTCGGAGCCAATAGTGCCGAAATTTTTTCCTCAGCATTATCTAGTTAACATGGAATTAAGTTTCGAGTTATATAATCTTTAAATTGCATCTACATGCTCTATTTATTTTCGCTGTTAGATCATCATAAAGTTAAATTATGCACATCCATTTATTTTTTCTATTGATCTCGTCATTTCTAGGCCTTGTATTTGACATGGATACTTCATTTATCCTTGGTTGCTAGATCATCACTAACAAATGTGTCCGTGTGTTACACGTAGCCCAATATGTTTTGAAATTGAACTCTATATCATCGACGCGTGTTGTTCTAACTTGTATGAGCACGGATCATGAATCTAAGTCAATATAGATACGAAGAGCGCAGGAACAATTTACAAAGTAAGAAGAAAGTGGGACGAAAGAAATCCATACATGTGCAACACATTCCACTCTTGTTGTTATCAACTTTCTTTCACAAGGAGATGGTTTAACACACATACCACACAGAGAGCTGTGCGGGTCGAGCAACGGTGACAGTCGAGGTCTACGGATACACAACGCTTCGTCCCCAGTGACGAACTGGGCACGAGCAGAACAGGCCGTCGTGGCAGTGCACGAACAATGTGCAGGACATGTCAAGGCTCGGCAATAGCGAAGACATGGTGCATTTTTATGTCTGATATTGTAGATTCTTTAGAACTTGGCTGGACAGCCTCACCTATTCGTCCTATATTTTTTCTTTTTTAGTTTGGTATTTCTTTAACTTGTCATTGTTTATCCGATGTCTTTTTAGACTCATTATTAGGCGAATAATTTGGTTTTTCAATATTTATGTCTTTAATAAGTTTTTGTTTCAGAGATAACTAAATTAAAGATATGTCTCATTACATCATAAATTTGAATGGAAGATGTTTTTTTCAATTAATCTTGTAATTTCTAGATATCCTCGATGGATGTGGATTTTTTTATCAATTGTGTTAATATAAGGCATGTTCAGCAGCTGCAGTTACAGAGAAGCTGTAGCGAATGAACCTATAATAGATTGGAAGTAACTATGATTACATACTTGAAATTGTTTGACTTGTCGGGAAAAGGATCGGGATTTCAATTGTGTTTTGGACGGAGGGAGCACAATGTTTGGTTTGGATTACAAAGTGATTACGTTACATACGATTGGTTCAGCTTAGTCCGTAAACCATGACCCTGTAATTGGATAACAGTCCTTGAAAGTTGATACTGCTACTCCTTAGATGTAATCTGTTACTACTACTCCGTTAGCGTTGTTTTCCATTTCCTTTTCCGTTTGCGTTTACTGTAGTCTATTAACCCAACAGCACGGAGGTATCTGTCTCGGCATGGCGGAGGAACAAGCGGTGTGAACAGTCAACAGTGCAGCAGTACCCTGGTGCTAGTAAACTCCAGCGTGGTAACCGCGTCGAGCGCCATTCCCAGCTCTGCACAGGCTGTAAATGGGGTGGCTGCCGACGCTGCTGCTGTGTTGCACAATGCGGGCATGCCGCACTGCACGTTCCCACGGACCACGGTCTCCGGCGACCGTCGCACCACGCACCGCCGCACCGGAGACCGTCAAGTGCCGGTCTCCCAAGAGCTTCTCTCGCGGTCTGAAGGGCCGTGCAAAGGCGGAGCCCAATCCGATGCCGCCACGTGACGGTGCCCCCCGTCACGTGGACTCCTGCCCAGAGCCACGCGCTCGCGGGGCCCGCGCCGGTGGCAGCTGGGCATTGGCCGCGCGGCACGCGGGAGCTGGAGCCGGAACAAGATCCTCTGCAGTCGACCCCTCACGACTGCATCCGGCAGTCGTTCCATCCCTGCCGTTCCTTGCCATCGAACGGACCAGCGCTGAGCCCAGGCGCTCCACCTCCTCCGCACGTCGTTCGGGCCCAACAACATGGCCCGTGGCCTGTTTAGCGTAGAAAGCAAGCATCGGTCCTCTGTCGCTCTCGCCGCCGTCGCAACTCGGTCGGTCTCCTTCCCCTCCACCGCCGTCGCTCTCGCGAGCTCATCCAGCGCGACTCAGGCCGCGACGATGTCGTTGGCGTCGGCGTCCACGCGGCCGACGTGCGGGACGCTTCCGCCGTGGCGTGAGCGCTCGAGGAGGCCGGCCCCGTCGACGTGGTGGTCTGCAACCACGGTGTGTTCGCGTCGCGTGAGCTTGAGAGGCACGACATGGATGAGATGATGCGGATGGTGGACGTCGACCTTATCGGCACCCAGAGCACGAGCAGTCTAGGAGTGCAGAGTAGAGAGAAAGATCTAAGAGCGCAGAGTACTTCACTTCTCGTATCAATGGCAACCGAGCACGAGCAGGGCAGGTGTGCATGGTGTTCTGAATTTTGTTTGAAAACGTTGGCATGTTCTTGTTCAGATGGATCCGAAGCCGAACACGAAGAGGCACCAATTCGAGGAAGCCAAGAAGCTGGGCATCCTGTGAGTGGTAAGGGACGAGGCCGGCGAGCCATACATGATGCTCAACACGGCGTTCGACGTCGCGATGCTCGACTTCACCAACCCGGAGGCGCACGCCTGGTTCAAGAGCATCGTTCCTGCACGGGATGATGGACCATGGCGTCAGCGGCTGGATGGCTGACTTCGACGAGGCCTCTGGACGTGCGGCTGCCCTCCAGCGAGGAGGACCGCGTCGCCGCACACAACCGGTACCCCGGAGCTGTGGGCGCGCGTCAACCGCGAGTTCGCTGACGAGTGGAAAGCCCGCTGCTGTGCCGCGCGCGGAGGCGATGACGTGATGGCGGCCATGGCGGCGGCGAGGACGAAACGACGGCCTAGTGTTCTTCGTGCGGTCTTGGTTCCGGGAGAGCTCCCGATGGGCGATGCTGTTCTGGGAGGGCGACCAGATGGTGAGCTCGCAGGCAAACGCGAGCTGTCGCGCCAAAAAGAAGAAGAAGAAGAAACACCGCTGCTTTTTACGCTTAAGAGGCCGTGTTGTTTGGCCGGAATGACGCACGAAGGAGGTGGAGCGCCTGGGCTCAGCTGGTCCGTTGGATGGCAGGGAACGGCAGGGATGGAGCGACTGCACCCGGCAGTCGTGAGGGTCGACTGCAGAGGATTTGGTTCCCTGGAGCCGGGGGTGGAGCGCGTCGCCGCACGCGGGCCTCTCGTCTCGCGCGCTTGCGGTTTGCATCGCCGAGTTGCCGACTTCGGCAGGAAGAAGGCCGTGGCTGGGGGCGCCTCACCGTTCACTGCCTTTGGACTGAACTGCACCTGCACGCTGCACTCTTGGGGCGTCAGACGTGTATGCATGCCTATCACAACGCCTCGAACTTTTCCTGGAAGTGGTAGTGGACCTAGTGGTGTGGTGCGTTCCGTGCGCACAGAAAATACCTGAAAATAAATAGCTATGGCAACCACACGTTATCCTATTCTACTATCCACTATTCCACGCGTCAGCTGCAGCACTACTATTCCTGCTAGGCAACACACGATTTTTTATCCAAATCATATCGGTTGTTAGAGACGACGCAGCAGGCCGAATTAATAAGCAATGGCAGACTGGAAGCAGGTTATTTGGGTGTGTTTAGTTATCCAAAATCCAAACTTTGGCACCATGTAAAAAGAAGATTCATCGTCATATAAATTTATGGTGCATGCATGGAGTACTAAATGTTGACGAAATCAAAAACTAATTGCACAGTTTGGTTGTACTTTGCGAGACAAACGTTTTGAGCCTAATTAGTCAACGATTGGACAATTATTACCAAATACAAACAAAATGCTACCGTGCGCTACAATGATTCCGGCGGCGCCAACTTTGAGCAACTAAACAAGGTGTTGGAACGACATCCTATGAAGTTGGTTTCCATGACTGTTGCCGGCGGTCACTCCATGACTGTCGTTCAATGTCATCCGAGAAAGTAGCTGAGCCCACACAATCAGCGCCGGATCCAGTAAAATTTTTAGAGAGAGCTAAATAAAAGTGCGACAACAACATAGTCGTCTTCTACCTTCGACTGCTGCTCGATCTTAAGTCTCACCCCCACCTACATGATAGAACTTTGCCTAAAGATATAGGGGCTCCACTGCTTCGGTATAGGTAGGGGGGCTCGAGCCCCCTCGCCCCACCGTTGGATCCGCCACTGCACGCAATACCTCCTTCACACATGCATGTTTTGGCCCAATAACACGGCCTGCTAAGCGGAAAAAACAGCCGGCGGCGTTCCTCCTTTTTTTAGCGCGACATCTCGCTGTTTTGGCGCGGACACGGCTTGTTTTGGCGCGGGGGCTGGAGCCGGGACAACCGAGGCGAGGCGGCGATCATCGACTGCTAGTGCTATGCTGCCGTTGATACGATCAATTGGTGGAGTACTCTACACCCCTAGATCTTTCTCTCTACTAAGATTTTTCGTTGTCCTAATCTAGTCATCGCTGGCATCCCTAGATGTGTTGATATTGATTGAAAGAAATTCTTTCTAAGCGTGAAAACGAAACCCGCATGTTTCAGATGGCAGAAAATAGGTGTGTAATCATGATTGTTTATTTGTATCATCAGATTAGATTAATGGCTTCACACAAGTATAGAGTCTCCATTTTAGTTGTTCAGTTTAGCACCAGATCATTTTTTTTGTTGTAGGGAGAGTTTGATTTCTGGTTTGTTACCTCAAGTTGCCATGGAGTTCAGTATCGAAGAGGCCTGGATGTTTTGGGTTACCTTTGAAGGTCAAAAAGGCTTTGAGATTAGAAAAAAGTATGCAAACAAAAGAAAATCTGATAGAAAAGTTAGATCTTGCAGATATATTTGTGCAAATGAAGGTCATAGAGTGCAAGATAAAAGAGATCATCTCACAAAGTGTCCAAAAGCTGAAACTAGAACGGATTGTCAAGTTTGCATAGGTCTTGTTGGGGACCAATACTAGGGTACCTGAAGAGGAGGAGCTAATTGTCATCAACATTGATTCAACCGAGCAGTCAAGAGCGCGCCTACAGTTCCATTTGACCCCCAGGTGCAGGGGCCCTGCCTCGCCCAACCCCGAGGCCGCTATCTCCGCCTCGCCCGACCTCCGAGGGTGGGCTCCGTCTCGCTCGACCCCGAGACCACGATCTTCGCCTCGCCTGACCCCAAGACCACGGGCTCCGCATCGCCAGACCCCTAGGGTGCGGGTTCCATCTCGCCCGACGGGAACCCATACCGCCGCCAACCACTCCAGGTCCAAGCGTATGGGCCTGGGTCAAAACTCTAACACCAAGAAAGACACTGGCACGCCCTGATGTAACCCACGGGCCACGACGGGCCATACCTGAGGATTCACATCAAGAACAGCGGCGGGAGTATTGGTGCTGTTTTGCCTGACCCTCGTACGAACATTGACAGGCGTGTCAGTTCACCACGACGTCCGCTAGAACGGAGTGGAGCGCCATGACCGGCGGATGACACCTACGCATAGCGCCAGTGACGGACAGGACCGCGACGTGGTGCCATCCCTATTGATATCTACAGGGTCGGCGGGACACGGATGAAGGAGAAGAAGGACCCAACGATGCTGGAGGCCTTCCTCTCTCGTTCTTCTCCTTTTTCTCTGCTATAACCCGCGCTTTCCCTTGGCCTATAAAAGGGAAAGCAGGGCGCCCCATGAAGGGGATCCTGAACCGATCGACCCATCAAGATCCGATACAGATCTGCACAAAAGTACGACATGAACGCACAGCTGAGCAGCGATTGAGCTCTCAGCACCCACTCACTTCTTTCACCAGAGACTTGGGATCCTTTCCCTCTCTCTCCCATTTATAACCCCTACTACAAACTTTCGGTGCTAGTAACACGAGTAGCAGCGACGAACTAGACGTAGGGACTTTCTACCTGAACCAGTATAAACCTCAAGTCCTCTAAGCACACCATCAGAGCCAGACGCTCAATAATATAAATTTACTCGTCGATGGTAACTCGAAACACCGACAGTTGGCGCGCCAAGTAAGTGCCTTTTGCGTGTCTCGATATCCACACCAGGACTTAGATGGCTGTTCATGGCGTCAGCTAGGTCCCGGGCATGCACGTGCGCTTTGGGAACCTGTATTTCATCGTCACGACGGAGGTAGGGTTAGTGCAGGCTCCCGCCGCCGTCCAACCTCTCCACTTCACCGGCCTCGACGTGATCGCCGATGCGCTTGAGGAGCTACAGCTGCCTGCATCGGTGGCCCGCACCCGTAGGAGCGACCAGCTCCTCGGCTTCGATTACGGGAGGCTAGAGCGCCAGCTCGATGACTTCCTGGGACCCCGACTGTCCCGGGAGGACTTGTGCCACCTCACCTTCTCGTTCACCAACGTCATGACGTAGCTTGCCGGAGGAGAGCCGCTCTCCCCAGAATACCTCATCCAGAGCGCCCCGACAGTGCTTCTGTCCTATCTCCACAACCCTGTGGCGCAACGCACGCCTCCATCCCCCATGAACGACGAGTTCATGGGGATGACCGAATATGTCACAGAATCTTTCCACTACCTCCTCGTAGGAGAATCGGGGTCGCTCTCTGACTCCAACTCCAGCAGGGGGAGCCATCACCCTTCTCATGAATGTTTTGTGGCAGGTACCCCCGAGGGACACATCGAAAGAATCCATGAGGGAGAGGCTACCCCAACAAACAGCCTCGATGACGAGGTTGAGAGGGATGTAGGGGCCCCACCTTGCCTACGGGTGGAGCAGCTAAAGGCCAGGCACCAAGAGCTCGAGGAAGCATGACTCCAGCTCGAGCAGGAACGCGCGAAGCTCAGAGCAAGATATATAGCGCCACAGAGACGGTGGGCGTGTGCTCGCCATGGCCCACAACATGAACCGAAGGATCATCGAGGACGATGAAGCCCTCCCACACTTCACCCGGGCGAGCTAGAACATCGCTGTTGTGGTAGCCTTGCCTTGAGGGCTTCTAGGGCCCATGACACCCGAGGATCGTTGGGCCCATCGTGAGATTCACATGCTAGTCGAGCGTACGACGACGTAATAGGCTGAGTCCTCGTTGTCCCAATGCGCGAGCTCGACGCCAGCCAGCGCGCGCCCTCAGAGCGACCCAACATGGACATGTCAGTCCACCAAGCGCAGTGAGGCAGCACGCCGCGCACCGCGGTCCTGGTGCACGAGTGTCTTGGTCGCAACCATGACATGCACGACACTCTTGATGCCCGCAAGTGTGTCCATGACGACGTGAGGGAGGGGGCTAGCCGCGGCTACCATGCTTGTCGTGGCAGATGCTACGACAGCGACGAGGACTGAAGTCCAAACCCTGACTTGCCAGGACCTCGTGCCTTTGGCCGACACATCCTCAACGCCGCCTTTCCACCACGGTACCAACCGCCGACCAACACCCTAAAAATACTCCAGGAAAACAAACCCCGAACTGTGGCTCGAGGATTATCGGCTTGCTTGCCAAGCCGGTGGAGCGGATAATGACGATTTCATTATTCGCAACCTTCCATTGTTCCTGGCCGATTTGGTGTGAACGTGGTTGGAACACCTTCCGCCCAACAGAATCCAAAGTTAGGCGGACCTAAAAGAGATCTTCGTGGGAAACTTTCAGGGCACATACGCGCTTTCTGAGAACCCATGGGATCTCAAAAACTGCTGACAGAAGGCCAGGAAAACTCTTCATGGGTACATCTGGCGCTTCTCCCGGCAGTGCAACGAACTGCCTAACGTTGCTGACATCATAGAAGCCTAAAAGGTCCTAATATGGCTAGAGAGGGGTGAATAGCATATTAAAAAATCTACAAACCAACTAGAGCAATTTGATTAGTATAACAAATAGCGAAATGCAAACTTGCTCTAGCTCTATAAGGGTTGTAAACCACCTATCCAATAATTCTAGTTGCTATGATCACCAGACACAGAATTTGCTATGTCACTACTCACTAAGAGCTCTCACACTTGCTATACTATGGAGCTCCACTATATGAACTTAAACTATAAAGCAAGCTCTCAATTCTAGCTACACTAAAGAGCTTACTATAACTAGTTTGCGAGAATATAAATGAGTGAGTAGGGTGATTATACCGCCTTGTAGAGGAGTGAACCAATTGCAAGATAAATACTAAATCAATTATCAGGAGAATACCAAAGGGCAAGAGACAACTAATTTTCTCCCGAGGTTCACGTGCTTACCAACACGCTATGTTCCTGTTGTGTCGACCAACACTTGGTGGTTCGGTGGCTAAGAGGTGTTGCACGAACCTCATCCACATAATTGGACACCGCAAGAACCTACCCACAAGTGAGGTAACTCAATGACACGAGCAATCCACTAGGGTTACCTTTCGGCGTGCCACCGGGGAAGGTATAAATCCCCTCACAATCACCGAAGATGATCACGAATAATCACCAACTCGTGCCAATCCTCCTCCGCAGGTCT